ACTTTTGAGGAAATTCTAACAAAAATTCGCAAAACATTGTTTATATATAGAAATAGTCGAAATATTAAAAGTAATAATAGGAAAAACTCGATATTCGCGAAATTTCGTGAAATCTATGACAATACTCGTGAAATTTGTGACAATTAGGCATGTCCCATAACTTCCTAAGAAATAACAGGGACTTTTGCCTTTTTTCCTTTATCATAATCAAAATGATCTAAAATTAAAAATTACACAATAATTATGATTCTTAATACTTATTCTTGAAGCTTTTTTAATGTTTTTTCCGCTTTAAAATCACTTTTTTTCTAATATATAGCACAGGATTTATTCATGTTTAATTCTTTGGCTTACTGCTATATGTATATATATCTACAGTTGTTGCACTTTATCTCAGTGTACTGTGGTCAATGCAATTATATTGAAGGCACCAATACTCTTTGATTTGGTGGTTTAATTTTCATGCGGTAAAATTTCAATTATAGTGAAATAGGTTAACATGCTGAAAGCATCAAATAATTTTTGGATAATAATAATCCATTATTTTCAGTTTATAACTCGCTAGATACTTTTCTTTATCTAATTCTTGCTTGCATCTGACCTATCATCAAGCTCCGAAATATTTTTAAAGATGCTTATTTTACGATTGCTCCTAAACGAAATTTTCCCATACATTTGAGAGTTTTAATATTTTACAGATATTTTTCACAAACAAGAGACAGAATTACAAAACATTAGCATAATTATTGTCTTATAATGGACTTCAAGCTTAAGTATTATTTTCTGAAATATAAATAATCAATATTTTCAACGGATTTTCTTTTCGAACGGATAACATTTCTAATTCATTCTCATAGGAGTTGCAAATAACATTTCTAATTCATTTATGTAAATTAACAGCTATTGTGTCACAAGCTGAAGAATTTAGAAATATTAAAACCACATATCAGAAAATTAGAAATTTCATTTAGAAGCACGTAGCAGATACTTTAATCTGATGTAACTATCTAATTCTACCTAAATTTGAGCCTTAGAACTCACTAGCAGCTCCTTTTAAGGGCACTTCAGCTATCACTTTTGCCGAGTAAAGGGAATGATTGGTCTAAAGCATGCCATTTTGTGATGCATACATGGATGAATCTGCTACGAGTATTAGATACTCTACTACATTTGTCACAAAAGTAGACTGCGTCTAAGGAAGTCCTTATAAACCCCTTTATAGGGGATATTTTAAAAGAAATTGAGATCAGCTTGTGCGGCAGTGTGCCACATGAGCTAATTGTCCAAGCACGATTTATTGGGTAGTATTTAGGGAGCATATCTGTGTTTCCAGAGACCCTCTAAGCATTTTACTGGACTACTGTAGCTAAATGTCTACTGCATAACTCAAAAGACGCATTACTATGTTCTTATGATGTTCGAAGTTTCATTATGGGGTAATGTCAATAAACAGGTCGAGAAACGCTTTTGTACAACGGATAATTACTGCAGAGGTATCTTGTCACCCAGGTATCTTGTTACAAAAGTGCGAGCACCCTTATGCAGATCAGCCACCAGATTTCCATTATGGCATCTTTCTTTACTACCTCCTCACCATTCCTTTGCTGGCCTGGCACAACCTCTTTCTTTCCCAGCTTTGCATTAGGTCGTATTATCTTTCGCAAACTAGGTTCAGAAACCGTATAGCTAAGAGTTTGGACGAATGTACAACGGATAATTACTGCAGAGGTATCTTGCCACCCAGGTATCTTGTTACAAAAGTGCGAGCACCGTTATGCAGAGCAGCCACCAGATTTCCATTATGACATCTCTCTTTACTACCTCCTTCCCATTCCTTTGCCGACCTGGCACAACCTCTTTTCTTCATCTTCAGAAACCGTACAGCTAAGAGTTTGGACGAATGCCTGTTCTGGCTGAGTTAAGTAATGGCCAAGACAAAAGCTTTCACAAAGCTGCTTGAGTACCAGCGTGAAAATCAGTTTTTTAATTCAAAATACAACTTTTATATAAGTGTGCACTCTTATGCCAAGGTAATTTTATACAAGCTAAGATCTTTAATTCGTCCTGTATCAGCATCTTTATGTCGAGGCATCCTTATGAAGACATACGCAACTGCCGTATCCAGTATATACCGATATATGCCATATCCAACTGCCATATCTAGTATATACCGATATATGCCATACATAGCTGCCCTATATTGGGATATCCAATCGCAATATGAAGCTTGAAGTCGGTCACACATCTGTCGATATATATATTTTTTGGTTTACTAATCAAAGAAAATAAGTGAAACTTTCTGATATAAGAAAGCAAGAAGCATGAAGCTTTCAGCTTGGTCATATTCGAAATACTGTAAAAGATACAACAAAGAACTCTGAGACACAAAACTTCAGTATCCAATGCAAGGAGACTAAACAATCTCTGTGACAACTCCACAAAATTCATTACATTATATTGAATTACATATGTTTATGTAGGAGTATAAGAATTTCCATGACGCATTATATAAACTAATTATTGTAAATTAAGATAAAAGGTAAATTGAATGTAATTTGAAATCAAATATAATTTTGAAAATTTGGTTTGATCAAATGGTATGGTTGGTTTGAAAGGTTTGATAGGCTTACCGAGCTAAATTCTGTTTGATCAAATGGTACGGTTTGGTTGATCGAATAATTTGGTTTGATCAAATGTAATTTTGGAATAAACAAACTAGAATTTAAGAGAACAGGCCTAGGGAAAACTTCCATTCATTTATGAAATGGAGAAATAAATTTCAAAGTAAAATATAATTTATATAAGTAGAAGATAAGTAGGATTTAAAGTGAAAGATTGATTCTGAATCTTCATTTACGTAGCCATGTCTTATTATTTCTCTAATTATGGTAGCGGAAAAAAAATGTTCTTTTTAGCAGGAACAACTTGGCAAGGTCTGCAAATTTTGGTGGGGGGAGATTAAAACTCTATATTTAACCTAAAATAGTGTTTACATTTTTAAGAGATGATAAACAGATCTTATCTTTATGATAAAAAAGTAGAAGATAAAAGTTTCATTAGGTGTAAACGTTTTAAAGTGGAAGTAGAACGTCAAATTTTTCTAATGTTTGCGCCCTCATATATGAATATATACATATATTTATCCACGTGTGAAAATGGTAACTTCAATCACATAATTTCTAATTTCTTAAACAGGGTATAAAGAAGATGAGCTGGAACTTAAAGTGGAATACACTGAACGCGCAACACATATTTAACAGTATTAAAATCTTTGTTGCATATTTTAAGTTTTTAGAGACGATAGGTTATTTGAATCCTTAGATCATACGAATCTTGAAAAAGATTAGAAAATCAAACATTTGAGTCTTATCACCTTTTTCGTTATTCGAATCTTCCAGATCCTATTTTTAAAAAACTGTTAAGCATTTTAATTCAAAATTTGAAAAGATTCATTTTATTAAAGTCTAATGGAACTTTTCAGTAAGAAAAGCAACTGTTGAAATTTCAGTGGTATATTATTTTTGCACTTTGATTAATTTTTAATAAAATTTGCAGACCCTTGCTTTATATTGTATGCTTTATTAAAGACATGTGTTTATTTCATGCAAATTACGTTTCAGCTGAGTTAAAGTTGAAATGAGGTACCATATTACATCGTAACGTTTTCATTAAATAATACATAGAGTATGTATTGTTTAATGAAAGCGTTTTACATAAAATACCACTTGAAAAGTTAGAGAAAATAGACAGCGAAGAATTGACAGAATTAGAAGAAAATGCATTATAGCGAAGAATAGACAGAATTAGAAGAAAATGCATTATAACGAAGAATAGACGTTATAAAAGCGAAGGCATTGACATTTCATAAAGCTTAATTTATTGTTTCTAAACTTTTGCAACATGAAATATTCAACTAAATTGAAATTAAGATAATTAATGCTGCTTTTTATTGACTTTCTTTTAAATTTTTAGCATATTATTTTATTTGTAATAAAATATTATACTAATATAATGTAATATAACAATCATATGATTTTAAATATAAATAAAACTTACTCTTAAATCTAACAAGGAATAAAAATTAAATATCAAGAATATTTTAGTAGGAACCCTAATTACAACTATAAATAAATATTATTTTAAAATCTTAACAATAAATTAAAATGGAAAATATTTTAGTAGGAATCCTAATCATTGCACATTCCCGTTGTTTTAAATTAGTACATTCGCAAATATATATATATATATATATATATACCCGATTAAACCTTTAACTGCGTGAAATCGATTCAGATAACTGTTTATTTTTATTATTACAATATTTATATGCCTACATTACATTTTCCTTTTAAAGGGGGAAATTGTTTAGTGATTAAAAATTTTTAAGCTTGCTAAAAAGTAATGTATTTCTTATCTTAGTGTCCATTTTTATTGTACTTTAACACGAAATAAGTAACATATTCGTGCAAAAAGTATTTAACAACGCTTTTCAAATTACACATAATTTGATTTAATAATAAACAACTCTGTACGTCACAATAATATCTTACACGAAAAAACAGTTAAACATAAAAAAATTAAAAAGTAAGTTACTGGCCCCTGTGCATTACTGTCATAGCAATTTAATGACGCTCTTTTATGGTTTTGATTACAGTTCTGGCGCGTAACGTCTGAGAGCTTTGATGTATATTTTATAAGTATCCCTGGTTTTGCACTATTGGAAATTTCTGCTATTGGCAAGAAGTAAAGTGCAACGATATATACATGTACTAATTCTAATTTAATAAATTATTAAATTTACTCTCATTATAAAATGTAAGAAAAATTTTCTAGAAAAGTATATCTTACAGTGTTTTCGTTCCCCATTTTAAAGAGCATTATAAAGCTGCTTTTAAATCAAGTGGATGTGAAAGAACTACTTATTTTGAAAATGATTTACATGTTGGTACCACGTTTGTTTCAAATCGTGTAAACACACCTTCAAAGTACTCCTATTCATCTTTAGACGCAATGAAATCTTTTATCAGACATTCTATGGTAACGTGTTATGTGCTGTAAATCAACTAACAATTTAGGAAAATTTCTTTCGTACGCTAATTAAAAGTCAGAGATCTTTCTCAATGGATGCCACATCGCTACTGGCTTGCGCAAGGAAGACATCATCTGGTTCCAATGGGACAAGGATTTTCCTTTGCAGTAAGGTCCCACAAATACATGACCGACGGCAGGTGATTTTCCAGAACCTTGGAAATCGGCGACTGTAACTCGTAGTTGCATATTCTAGAAATTAATAAAACATGAAAGGAAAGAATAATTCAGTTTTTGTTAATGACAGAGAAAATTACACAAAAACAGAAGAACAATATAAGTGACAAGAATCTTTTACCTTTTGATGAATTTTATGACATGCAGTTGCAGTGTGCATCACGTTAAAGATTATTTCACTTTTGTAATATTAAATTTTAATTTAAACCTTCTGTATTTCATTACCAATGTTTATCATTTTTTAATCCCACATTTTTGCAAACTCAAAACTTATTGAGCTAAAAAATTTGGCCTCGTTCAGTCTAAAAGACTGTCGTTTAGTGTACAAGTTCTACCATAATCTTCATCCATACTCCTTAACAGCCGAGTGGTTGTAAAACTGGTAGTTTGATTTAGATTCAAATTTAAGAGAACGAACTAATTTCAGGGAAATTTCGTGCCATTCTGTATGCAAAGAGTGAATATTAACCATATTTCCTTATAAAATGCTTCATAAAAACATTTTTCCTCTAAGGCACATAACCCTTATCCTTGTGTTCTTTGCTATAATCCCAATAATCCATTTAATTCTATTATAATGAGTATAAAGTACTGTAAAGAAATGACTCTCTCAAAGATAAATTATTATTATTCAGCATTTTGACATGTCTGATTATATAATAGTAATAATTTTGTAATTCAAGTCAACTGCCTGATAATAATTAAGACACAATAACACGCCGAACAAGTACTAATTCAGAAGTCAAACAGCAAAAATCAGCGTTATATTCTCAAATTTTCACAGGACTAGTTTCGATGGTTTTACCGAACCACCATCGAAACTAGTCCTGTGAAAATTTGAAAATATAACGCTGATTTTTGTTGTTTGACTTCTGAATTAGTGCCTGATAATAGTTAAAAAACTCTCAGTAAATAAAGGTCTTGCTTTATTACATAATGCCAATCACTATTTCAGTGAAATTTTATGAAAAATTAAATTGATTCTGCTCTGGCCATTTTTTTTTTTTGTTTCAATTTAAACTTTTTAGGCTTCTTCAGCTAATACCAGTATTATCTTCGGTGAATACGTAGATATGTCTTACGGCTGGAACCAAATAAAGATGAAAGTTAAATACTAAAAATTTAATTAAATATGATAATGTAGCATAACATTACTTTACGTATTTGATAAGTTATGGATTATACACAGAAAATCAATCGATTAAAAAAGTAATATTTTTAAAATAGTCGACTGCGTATGTTTTTCTGCAAATTGCTATACTTAGTCGAAATTTAAACTACGATTACTAGAAAAACTACAGTTAACTATTTGCTTCTATTTTTCTTATTTCTTCGTTTGGAGCTTTGACCATAATTTCGGAAATATACATATATTGTTGGAGAAAACAACATATAATTCGTTTAGGCATTCCAAAAATAGATATTCGTAATCATGCTTCCTCGGTAATTTTGAAATTTACAATCATTTTTGCAGTGTGTCTACAGATTTTTCAGACTAATTTTTTTCAATCAATTTCAAGAAAACTTGCTTTTCCTAAAACATCGTTTGCTTATGAGTAGAATTTTTTGGGCAATTAGGCAATCAATGTTTTTTTTTTTTTTAATTAGTGGGCATCTGTTGTCGTGGATTTGAAGCCTGACCAAAGAATATCAATCAAGTTTCGCTGTAAAGCAGGGAAAAACAATGAATTAAAAAATAACATTACGAAATTCATTACGTGGCAGATATACACCATCTATGCATTTCCTGAGCTTTCAGATCAGCATTGTGTACAGTATCATACTCCCTACGCAGTATCATACACATTTTTAAGCAAAGGTCTGAATTTTTTACCTGTAAGGCGTGTGAGGGCACAGAAAAGATCATCGCTTCATTGAAATTTGGATCCCTTTCATTCTTTTTAACAGACGTTTTCTTCTTCGCGAATTTTTTGCCATTCTGTAGGAGGTAAACTTTTACAAAGGGGTTGAATTCTGAAAGTAAATAAAACAAAATTCAAATTAAAGAAATATAGATGCTTAAAAAGCAATAATTAAATATAAATTACATATGAAATTCACATTCCACTTTTTTTTTAAAATAACGCAGAATTCAACCTTAGGTGGACGTTGCTTTTATGGAAAAGTTCCAACATATTTCAATCGAGTCTAACAAAATGAATTTCACACCTTGAAGAAGCAGAGCATATTTTAGATTGCCTCGAATCCCATACAAACTTTATATAAAACTAAAGCCAGTCTAAGGTTTACCTTCGGCTAATTCTCTTCAGATCTGCCTGCTTAGCTTCAGTTTAAAACCACTTTATTATTAATTCATATAAACTCCAAGAATTTGTTTCGAAATTTATCGTTGAAGAGATTTAGTTTGTTTGATAGCAGAATCAAAAGGAACACTTATAAAATTAGAATAACGAGGTGGTGGTGGTGAGTAAACAATCGCATCCTATAAACCGTTTCGAAAAAAAGGTATTTTTATGTATTATCGCAAACTAATAGAAATCGCCAAATTTTTAGTAGTCACGATCTCAGCAGGACCAAACTTTGGCTGCCATGTGTATAACAGTTTTTAGATAATCATACCCATTGTAAATTGCAATCCGAACATTCACTAAATCACCTTTTTCTTCTGTCAAACCGCCAAACTGTGCCAAGGTAGTTGTACTAATACGTATGAAGTGAGAAAAAGTAGTAATATTTTTGTTAAAACGCGCATTTTGTAAGTTAAATTCTATCTGTTATTCAGCAAATACTAGTCTTTACATACCGAAACGGCAGTCTACGAGGTACTTTTCATCGGGGAGTAGTGAAGCAAGGCATTTTACATTTGGAAATTCAGAAAATTGCAAAGTGAAGTATTAGGCAGTTTTTCTGATTGCGATGTAGAGCACAATAGGCAATTTACGCCTAGAAATCTGCATTTATTTATTTAAAATTCAGAAGATTTTAAATCTTTTAAAACGAAGTTTACTAGTAGTTAAAAACTACATGTAAAACAATAAATTAGAGATAATTTCAAAATAATTGTTTGAACTGAAAAAAAAAAAAAAAAAAAAAAAAAAAAAAACAGTAAACCATAACTCTAAACTATATTTAAAAAACAATACATTGCTAATGAAAAATAATATTTATAACTCACTATTATATTATTGAAAACTTTTCTATGAATGCCTAATTATCATATCATTAACTGTTATTATTATGAATTATCTCATTATTTATTATAATTAGAAAGGGTAGATATTTTTTTAAATAATGCTTAAAACATTTACTGTCGTCGATGCGGTTTTTAAGGCAATTTCTATTTGAAAAAGGAATATCTTTTCACGTGAGGTGGTCAATCATAGAGAAATGATTGCATACGGGAGATGGCACATTTTCCAAAGAAATCTGTCTTATCTGGAAAGTATTTCTCAAAAGATCACTACATTAGGCATGTGCATGGAGGACCGCATTAGGAATCTACATGGAGAACTTTCCAGAGGGATTCGCCTTAAAAAGAGATGTTATTGTATTGAGTCGAGTATTTTATTATTTATTGGACAGTCTATTATTGCTCATTGCACAAGTACATATAAAGCAATATTTCACTTCAGTGTCCTTAAGAAATGACTGCCTACATTAGCTTACTTATTTACTATGCTGATTACTCTTACATGCCCATAAATTTTACTATTTATTAGTAGCCTTACTTAATTACTTTGATGTTTGTTTTTACATGCTTACTACTGTTAATAACTCTGCTTTGTACAATTGTAAATGTCTGGTTCACACTTACCCTTCACGTCATTAGTTCGAAGCGCTTAATAGTGCCTCGGAGCATTTTCAAGTCTGTCAAATTGTCTAGGTATACCTTTGTTCTAATTATTTAATCTCGCTCTTTGCAAATGACTTAAAATGTATATTAAAAATGTTATTTAAATTATGGTTTATAACTTCTGTATAGAACTATTATTTCCTTTACAAATTCGAAGTTGCGTACATATTCTACGAAGGTAGGGTCCTCGACCCCAGGTACTCTGGTGACAATCACCACTCAACCATCTAGCTTAAGGAATGACTGCATACATTATCTCTTGACAACACAGTTTATTTCTGTTTTCTCTTTTTATTTAATTATTTTTCACTAATATATCTGTTTACTTTTAAGTAAAACAAATGAAGCAATAATAAATAAATTTTTGTGCATGGTTGAATATACCCAGTTATAAGGCATTCGATTGTATGTTGTTTTTTATTTATTAAAACAGCACTTTTTATTTTATTTCAGTCAAACCCAGATACACATTGATAGCGATTTTCAACACATTTTGAGTATACATCAGCCCTACATAGATATGAGTAAATGGGAAATATTTTTGCTCTAGGCTCACGCAAAAAGGCTGTTATAATGATGATGCAAACAAAATTAATTAAACTATTAAACTAACAATTATATGCAGTTTAAGATAGTAAAGAAAGATAGTAAAAATAAATAGTGAGAAAGTAAGGAAAAGAAAAATCAGAAAGAAAAGACAGAGGGAGTATATTTTTTGTTTCTTAAAATGCTATTTATTAATAATGCAATAATTTTTTTAATCACGTAATTAAAATCATGATTTAAATGGCTCAATTTTAATTCAGATACACTCTATCTACATTAAACATATACAAGTTGCTATGAATAGAAAAAACATTTCTTATTACAAACTTTAAATCACATCTCTCAAGTAATCTTCTTGAAAATATTTGAGACATTCGCGATAGAAAAATAACTGTGAAACTCGCGTGTTTTCTTTCTGCTCTTCTAGGGAAAGAGGCCCACCAGCGGCCGAGCGGTAAAAAACGCTGAACACTGGTCCGAGGCTCGAATCCCGCGAACGGGCTGGCTGCACATGGGCGTTTTCGTGGTTTTCCCCATGTGTAACGCGTTTACGAGCCTGTTTTCCCTTAGAAAGTCCTCCACGAAGGCATCCCTCCCCCTTAGGCAGATAGCCCTCGAAGCTTTGCCATAATCACACACACACTTCTAGGGAAAGAGGGCGTGTGCAAGAACTCTAACTTCTCTACTCCCCGATGAAAATAATAGAATCGCCTCTCTCGTAGGCTGCCGTTTTGGGATGTAGACGCTAGTCATGCAAATGCCTCCGCTTTGTTTCGCTGGTTACTGTCACTCTTTGGTGGTGCCATCTCGTGATGAATGTGGTAAATGCATCATTGCTGAGTCCATGACCTTAGGGGCCGGATTGAGATCCGAGTGAAACCCGAATATAGTACTTCAAGGCCAAAACGTGAACATAACTATATCGTCTTAATAATGCAGTTGGAAGGAGGCAGTATTACAATACGGGACGACTTTTGCAATTTGGCTGCCTTCATAAGGTACTATTAGGTTGCGTTCAGATGGCGACGTAAATGTCAAAAGCATAGTTACAAGGTATAAAATGCGAGAATTCCGTTCACAAGATACTACGATGTTAGTCTTTTAGGCTGGTGTCCAGCACGAATTTCATCGCGCTCTTACCAGCACCGCATTTGCCCCATGATGGGTATACCACGCGTGTATAACCTTATTTATTTTGCCGCTAATGGGGGAATTTCCCGAAGGAAGTGTATAAAATAAGGCTCTTGCCTGTATGATCCGTGTTGGTGCTGCACTGAGATGTGAGATTATGGTAAGATTAAATGTCAAATGTAAATAAATGAGTGGCATATGGTCTTAAGTTAAAATCTTCGTCAAGCAATTCATATTTAAAGTTGTCTGCGTAGTGTACACGGCGTTAGTGACTGCTTTAGTAAAAAAAAATATTATTTATCCTTCTGATGTGACATTTTATATCTTCAATTTCGAGGTTTTTATGCAAATCTTCGTTATGAATAAACCAAGGTGCACCTGTGATCTTTCGTAAGAAGCTGTTTTGAAATGTTTGCAGTTTGAGAAAGTCAGTTTTGGAGGCAGTACACCACGCCGGTGAAGCATATATCAGAATAGGCCGGAGAATACTTGTATAAATTCACTTTTTCCTTGATAGGTCTAATGATGATGATGGGTTAATAAATGAATTAAGCTTTCGAGCAACCCCAGTTGCTTTCCCGATGGCTGTGAAAATATGTGGATTCCAAGTCAGGGTGGAATTAAAGCGAACTCCTAAATAGGTTGCTTTGCTGACTTTTGGAACCGTTTCGTTGAATAAGGTCAGCTCGACATCTACATTTTTCCTTCGGTGGCGCCCTAAAAGTAATAGTTGGGATTTAGAGGCATTTATACTGATCCGTCACTTCCAACACCAATGTTCTGTTTCACGCATCCGCCTCTATATGCGTTGACATTTTCCGGATTGAGAGAACATGAGAGGATGGCTGTATCATCAGCATAACATGCTGCGATACAGTTGCTATTATTATCAAATAACGGAAAATCCATTGCGTAGATAAGGTATAAGAGGAGACCTAAATTTGAACCCTGAGCAACACCTGTTTGGATTTGTTTGTTTGGAGAGTAGTAATAACCGCACCTGATGCTAAATGATCTATTGGTGATGAACGACTAAATAAGGAGAAGCATCTCTCTAGTGACGTTGAGAGGGATCATTTTATATATTAGTCCGTTATGCCGTTTATATATGAGTATGTTATATGGCCCCATACGACGCGTGCAACGGTTGCAAACATGACAAACTTGAAATTTGAATACCTCCCACATCCCCCTTACTCGCCAGACCTCGCACCGAGCGATTTCCATCTGTTTGGTCCGCTCAAAGAAGCAATGGGCGGCAGGAAGTTCCACTCCGATGAAGAGGTACGCAACGCGGTGCACGAGTGGTTGCGTCGTCGCCCAAAAGGCTTTTTTTCTGCAGGTATTCAGGCTCTTCCGAAGCGCTGGCGGACTTGCATTGAACGAGGAGGGGACTATGTTGAAAAGTGATTTACTTCTGTACCCTGTGTGACCAATAAATAATATTAAAAAAAATAATTATGGTTTTCATTTGACTCCCCCTCGTATCATCAATGGAAGGGTAAGGGAACAATAAAAGATAGCGAAGCTGAGCAAAAATATCCCGAAAAAGCGGTGATGAGTCGAAATATTAGGGCTTCCTTGCTTTTCCAAAAATAACTACTCATAAATGTTAATACAGTTTATAATATAGTTTACTGAGAAACAACGAAACAGTTTCCGGCGATAATACATCACTGATGAGTTAAGCAGATTTTTTAAATAGATGGTAATAGGTTAGTACTTACCTGATAAATTGGGTGTCTTTTTCCATCGCAGATTTCTTCCTTTGACAATGACTACAGTTAGGCGTTCAGCGGTAGGTAAGTAACTCAAAGAAAACATAATGTCGCCTAGTTCTGCAGGACCCTATCAAGAAAATAGTTAAAAAGTTTGAAATTAAGAAAAGGTATTTATTAATTTCATTTGCGCTTATAATTGTTCACTTAAAGTATAAGCAATTATGAAACACAAACGAAGATCCATTAAACAAGTTTAAGAATTATTTCCGGATATAATGTTCTTTTAAATTTTGTTCTATTGCTAATTTAATCAGATTTTTTATTTTCTTCGCTTTGAGATGAGGGTAAAGAATAGAGATCTAATTCGAAAATTTAGGGATTAGAGATTTCGTTCAAGTACAATTATAATTATTAAATATTTTAATAAAAACATGGAATATAATCAAAACAGATGTCTACAAAAACTGACATTTATTTAAAAAATAATAAATTTTGTACCAGATGAGTTTATTTATAAGTAATAATTAGATGTATAATGAGTATATTGCATTTCGTAAAAAATTAAAGGCATTTCTCTTTATGACGTTTTGTGATATAACTGTCAGCATATGCCGTTGGAATGTCTGAGGTTTGATTGTCGGCGATGACGCAGCTGACTATTCAAGATTCTTGCTCACCAAAAGCCTAACGATTCTAAGGTGGCGCCAAAGATGATGACGCCTGAAGATAAGAGGTGAACAATATTTATTGCATTTCAAACGCAAGCCTAATTCACGTAAGAAAAGTTAAGAAAGTCAAACTTCACTCATGGCAGCTCTTGCAATTGTTACGTTGCAATCAAAAGGCTTTTAAATCAACCTTTTGAATCAAATTTAGATTCCTTTGTCAGTAATGATAATGATACTAATATACTCGCTAGATGCGAATGCTTTATGCTAGATGCTTATTTAATCTTTTGATTTCGATGGACATTTTTGTTATTTTTGTGAATAAAGCGGCAGAGAATTATTAAATATTTTAATTTTTATGTCCTTGGAATATTTACGGTTAGTTTTATTTTAATGTAGCAAACAAGCTTCGAATACTTCCAAAATACTTACAGATATTCTGACTTAACATAAAGTTCGAGTCGGAAAGCGATATGAAGTAAATATTGTTCAAGTTAGAGGGGATCTTAGAAGTTTTATAAATATATTAATAGAGATAATTTATCATACATAAAGTTAGTGTATTTTGAAATATTTAATAAGGCGAGTGATTTAAAAAATAATAATACAATGAAATTAAAATTTAAAGAGTTCTTACTTGCTAAATCCATTAAAAACTAAGAAACAAATAAACATCTGTAACTTCATGGCAGAAAAGGAAGATTTTTAGGACTATGTTTGTTACAAATAACGAAATTGAATAAACCTTTCATTTATTTTAAAATATCCGCAGTTCTTATTTATTGGTTGGTTGCTTTTATACCCACGAAGTGTGAAACTAATCCATGAATTGTTAGGGCAGCTCGATTAGTATGAAGAAACTTTCCATAGTATGAATTTTCCCGTGAACGTTAAGTATAACATTCTGAAATTCCGCTAATATTACAGGACAGATGCTCTACAGTGAATTCAATAAAAGGAGAATTTCTGCAATATGGACTTTTAACACTTCGATGTGAGCGAATTTTTAATATCTTATAATGCCTAGTTCTCAATCTAGGACTGGATTATTTAATTATGTCAAAGCACACTAGGGCTATCTGCTTAAATGGAGGCATGCCTTCGTGGAGGACTTTCTAAGGGAAACTGTCTCGTATACACGTTACACATGGGAAAAACCATGAAAACGCCCATGCAGCCAGCCTGTTCGCGGAATTCGAACCTCGGACCGAACTACCAATGTTCAGCGTCTTTACCGCTCGGCCACTGGTGGGCTAGTTCTCAATCTTGAAATAATATAAAAGATGTCTAAAAAAACAATGTTTTTCTTCAGCTCTTCACACCAGAGGCTAATTTGATAAGCTCTGCCGTCTGAATGTATGGACACTCCCAGAGGAACACGCGAATACAAGGACCCAATATGTCAGCAATAACTTAATTATTTTGACAAGCACATTTACCACGTAAGTCAGTTGGTTAATGGAAAACACGTAAATGTAAATGCTGTTCTAAAAGGAGTATGTCTAATTAAGAGCCTCGAAAACTACAAAAGCCAGACGGTCCCTGATTTTGTTAAGATGATCCAATGGATAAAACTGAACAATACTGGTAATTTGTTAAGGGTTCCGTTAGGATGAGCTGGCTACTTTAATAGGTTTCGTCGCTTTAATTAGATATAATAAGAATGAATGCATTTCAACGATGATAAATTAGAAAGTCTTCAACAAGTGCACTCCTGCTAAAGCAGACAACATACTTTCCCATAATTAGTTAACTAACCTGTTCAAATTTTAAAATGTATTTTCTTATAGTTTGAAATTGGTTATGACATTAACATCACCACGGAATCAAGTCTCTCGAGCTAATATTGAGAAAACTAATTACTTCTAGATGTTTTCGAAAGATATAAAAATTTGGATTCGTTTAGTGAAGAGTTCTTTAATAAAAAGTAAAAAAAAAAAAAATAAAAAAAATGAAACCTGATTTGAGTCGATAATTGGGAACCATCCTAGATAAGGCTGCGCTAGGTCAAGATCAGATAATTTGACTTCGCACTCTCCCATCATGGAATTTGTGTACTTGTCACAAGTATACACAGTGCACAATAACGACCTTTGAGGAAGATCCGCTTCATCCACCCCAAAAAGGAACCTTTCTTTGAAGAGTGGGTTATTGGTCTTGCGCTGAACCTGAAAGAATGAAGAATTGGAATAGTTTTAATTCCTGAATAATTTACGCAAAAGAAAAAAAAAAAAAAAAAACTTTTAATGTAAAAGAGACATTGTGTAAGAAAAATAATTTTTTCAGAGTTTTGAAAGCATGTTTAGCATTTTGCATTATTCAAGACTGAAGAAGAAATATACATTTACACCTTTAACAATATAAATGTACGATTAAATTCAGTAATTATAAAAAATTAATTTAATTTAGTGAAGTAAAAGTTTCATTAATGATTCCTTTAAGAGTGAAGGATTATTCTAAGCAGGAAATCGGGATAACACTCAAACGAGTTATTCGTATTCATTACCTAAATAAGTTAAATGTGTAAATATTGACTAGTTTTCATTTAATGAATAACAGTTTTCCAATCTTTTCTTCTTAATTCTTCTGAAGAATTTCACATAGATAATAGACATTAAGTATTAGAGAAAATTATCTAGGTACTGTACCAAGTTTCATATCTGTATATACTGTATTTTGTGACAAGGAAGTGAAAATTAAAAAGTACGCACTCGCTCATAAAAGCTATGTCATAAAAGCTATCACCAGCACTTTGTAATTTCTCATACCAGTGTGCGACGTCTTTGCTACGTCACGTGCTACTTGGGTTTATTTAGAATTAACTTCATAGAAAATTATAATATAGTTAAAATTTGTAATTAATTTCCACATCGCATAATTCATATGATTAAGTACGCTTCCACTAATATTATGAAACTTATTATATATATTAAAATGCAAGAATGTATTAATATATTTATACCACGCATTTAATACATCGAACTTTTATATTGATACTAATCGAAGTACTGTTGATTAAACATTAATATGCTATTGAAAGTTGAGCTTATACTAAGGAGTATCCTGAGATGAACACCTTGTGAACCTGAATAATGCACAAGATTTACATTAAATAATATTCCCATGAGTTTTATCTTCTTAGTAAGCAAGATTTATATTAATTTTTCCTCACAGCCGATTAATTTTTCATGCAATTTCAGTAACACATTTTATTCTTAAATAGTTCATCTTTCATATAAATTAAACATCTAATAAGCAGTTTATAACAAATAAATGAAAAACTTGCAGTATAAAATTATTTGAATACTAATAATAATTACTACAATAATAATAATAGTAAATATAATTACCCTTGTTTGCATGTTTGTAGATCTGTCAGGAAGAAGGAATACTTTGATATAAGTATCGACAACAGAGTTAGGTATAGGTCCTACTAAGTCTCTGGCTCGGTTTATTATCACTATTAGATCCTCGGTTTCACTAAAATTGTGTTAGATAGAAGCAGTTATAAATTATCTATGTTAATAACTTCTTTATTCCATAAAAAAAGACAAAATAGATGCCAAAGTACTATCTAATGGCAAAATATTTTGCGATTAGACAAAATAATAACAAACATTGTAATGTTTTTGCTTTATAGTTGAAAGCTTTTGTTAATAATTACTTGAAACTCTGAATGTTTAGAAAATTATACTATAATTTTCAAATTAAAAATAATTTTATAAACATATGCAATGAAATAAGATTAGTTTTAATAGATATATTATTAAAAGTCACTACAGAAAATAAATTAATTGCTATAATAAAGATAAAATGATGGGAGTTCATAAAGCTTCTTAACAACCATTGTTTTCTACTTCAGTAAATCTTCAGATTTCTTTTTATATCACGAAATCAAAAAATCATTTGCTTTACCTAATGATTTTGGAAAAATCTTTAAAATTGATTTTTAGTTTTCTTCAGAAATTTCGTAAGGAAATTTTAATTTTAAATTAAATTTATTTTGTAAAAGATGCATTTTAGAAAGCTACAATATTATATTTTCCGCATTAATTTTAATGCATGCTATTAAGCAGTCTGGTATATGAATCTTTCTCTTATTGGATATCACATATATAAATTCATAAATTACATATATTACTACATAAACTACATACATTATAAAAGGTATTTTATACACAGTTATACACTCCCATTTATGAAAATTATAACACTATGAAATAGTGGCGGCTAGTGGCTAAAATTATTGGGGGTGCTGTTCCAAAAAAATTTAACCTTCTTTTTAAAATTGTGTAAAAGGAAACAAACATGTATAAAAGAAAATTTATTTGAAACTTCATGAAATATTACAGAAAAGATTAAGCATTCTTATTACTTTAACCAAAATTGCTACAGTTGTCTATTCTTTGTTCATTTAAAAATGAAATCTATTCTTGTTTTAATTTGAGCGAAAAGATCAATAATTTTCTCCTTGGTCTCTGGATGACAACTGAGGAAATTTTTCTTTATTGAAAGCAAAAGCGCATTTAGTTTTTCTAAATTCCTAGTGTTTCTTAGAAAGGTTTTCATTCTTTTCAATGTGGAAAAGCAACGTTCTGCCTCTGATGTAGTCATGGGAACTCTCAAGAGAATTTTTATCAGTTTCGTAATTTCACTAAGAACATCATCTAGATTATTTTCGAAGATAAATTTCAGTCTCAATTAATTTGAAGTATTCATGGATATCAGACCTACAATGGAATACTTTTAGTTCAATTTCAAGCTTTTCTTTGTTAATCATTGGATATACTTCACAGTACTATGATATATCACTAGATAATGGTCAGTACTATTTCTTCTGTAGAATGTTCATTCCTAAAACTAAGCATTTCTTGTTAAACAATTTAGCAGCTGCCAAGTGTTTAGTGGAAGAATATCTGTGCATTATATCAATACCTAGTATAAAGTTACATATTTCCTTAGCTTCTGCCATCAGCGTCTTTGAAAAATTATCACAGTACTTTGAGTTTCTTAATTCTAAAATAGCAGTTTTGAAATTTGTTATATATTCATTAACTTTAAACACACTAATTTCTCTGGATTGCATTAAGTTGTATATTATTTCAACATGAGGCATCTTGATAAAAAAGCTCTAACCAAAACTTGAAATTATCACCATTTAGATATTTTAAAATTCCTGTTACTTTTGCAATAGTTTGATCTGCATTTGATGTTGACTGAATTTCAGTAAGGCAGTTTTTTAAAAGTTGCAAATTTTCACGAACTCTGTTTATGATCCGTATGATGAAGTTCCACCTTGTGGAGGAATACCACACGCACAGAGTAAAAAGAAATCACGTTTTTCAGCAACATGCCAGAATTTCGGCACTGCAAGAGTGACAGTGCTCCTCTCTCTACCCGGCTCGTGTGCTTGCTTCTATATGCGCATGCGGAGAAGAGCCAAACACCACGTCGCTGGAACTGTGAAGCGCGCAGTTCCAAATAAAGACTTTCGTACCTCTTTCACAAAGCGGGGGATGGCAACTGACTTTAAGGATTATACATTGTAAAAGTATAAAGAAAGAATTAAAGACTAAAGGGCACACTATATTAAATATTAAAAATAATAATAAGTGGAAATAGAGTGTGCTGTAGTTCCACAGTGCTTATTACGAGTCGCCACTGCTATGAAGAAATCTTCGTCCTAGAAAGAAACATACGCCAGTATTACTCTTAAAGTGCAACGAAAAATTAAGGACTTAAAATTAAGGAGTAATACTCCTAAATCACTGGCCTGAAATCTGCATTTTGCAAAGCATCCATCAATGAAAATAAGTGCTTCTACAAGTCACGGCATCGAATGAGAGATTGTTGTATTACTGGTATACTGTCTGTTAGGCATTATGCTTTCTCGTCGTTGGAATCTACAACTCATTGATAGTGACTTTTAGAAAAATGTGATGAGCCACTGGCCAGTTGACTATCTCTCCTATATGCTCAATCGACATTTCTGGCGAATTAGTAAACCAGGGAATGAACAATATTCGTTGTGCTGCCAAGAAAACACGGACATTCCGGACAGCATGTGGCCAGAAGTCACCTTATTGGAGTGTAACTTTAGAAGTGTATTGAATAAATGGTAGGACCTCAGCCTCTACATCTTCTCTCATATAGCAGTTGCTACTGAGAATACCTGAAACTCTCAATAGGCTAACCCATAATAACTTACGACGCCCCCCTCTAAAGCGCCTGCTTATCGCCCAGTATGACGTTCTACAATGAACACTGGATGATAGAGCTCATTACAGGATTCGTGCCCTAATGTGTATGCGGTCATCACTGTAGTCTATTTCAAATCACGATTATCAGTAAACATAACCTCTTGACGCGTCCGTCGTAGTTTGAGGCGTCGATGGTTCATAAATAAGCGATAAGCAACGGAGGACGTGGGCACTGTCCCTTTACCAAAAGGTTAATCGGTATAGCTCCACGTCCACCTATATCTAGAGCCTAAAGAGGAATCACAAGACGCCACGCGCCGGGCGCCCAAACCCAGAGCCAAATTCAACCCGGGGGCAGTCCAACAGACCAAATGCCCACGAAAGACAGTCTCAACAACCGCCCAGGCTCCACATTTATTAAAATAAAATAACAAAAGCATGCAGGGCCAAAAAGGGCGAGTAAGCAAAAATTTTACAAAGGTGTAATACACACAAATATAGAATATACATAAGCTAAAGTACAGTCTGATGTTGGGCAGCCCAATAATATACAATGAATAAAATATAGACAGTAGAATTAGACTTAATGACAATATAACATAAAAATAGAGAACATAGTGAAATAATGAATGTAAATGATTACAGCAATACACAGAGGTATACCAAAAGAAATAAAATAAAAGAATACAATGTAACAGAATGCAATAGCGGTACAATATACTTGATCACGTGGATTGTGGGAAAAACATGCAATAAGGCTAATTATACGATTATGAGGAATAAAAAATAACATATTTAGCCTGCATAAAGTTAACGAATATAAGATACTATACAATACTATACAATATTACAATACAATACAATACAAAAAAAAATTAACTATTTAAACCTGTACTAAAAGCCAACTGATATAAGATACTATACAATACTATATAATACCACAATACAATACGATACAGTAGATACAATACCACAATATAATACGATACAGTAGATGCTATACAATACTATACAATGAAAATACAAAATACATTCAGTGTTGGTGACACAAAAATACATTTAAAATTGTCATGACACTAGTGATGAAAATACAAAATACATTCAGTGTTGCTGACACAAAAATACATTTAAAATTGTCATGATACCAGTGATCCTAATGCAGCAAATAAATTGATGCAGTTACCTGCATAAAAGATAACTTATATAAGATACCATGCAATACTATACAATACTACAATACAATACAATACAAAAGCTAATTAAACGATTATAATGAATAAAAATTAACATATTTAACCTGTATAAAGCCAACTGATATAAGATACTATACAATACAAAACAATACCATAATACGATACGATACAGTAGATACTATACAATACTATACAATAGAAATATAAAATACATTCAGTGTTGGTAACACAAATATACATTTAAAATTGTCATGACACTTGTGATCCTTATGCAGCAAATAAATTGATGCAGACAGTTAAATGTGTTACTATACATTTGCAAAGGATGAAATATAGACTTAAGTATGCCACAAATTATGAACATATATTATACCGTGAAAAACACAAAATACATTCAATGTTGGTATAAATACAATGGATATATTTAAAACAATGGATAATGGTTGGATATATTATACAATGAAAATCTCTAGCGACCCCAATACATTCAGTGTTATTATTACACAGAGAATTAAATGTATGATATTACATGGGCAATTGATGAAAAGAAGACAGTAACAGTATAATGTATAGCCAAATATGCAAGTATATGGTATACCGATGTTTAACAGCAACTGGCAAACAATGTACCATTAATACGCCCAACTAGATATGCCAAGATATTATATACTATTATACAGTGAAAAACGCAAAATACGTTCAATGTAGATATTATCATAGTGCATTATGAGGGAATACAGACAGTTATAGGTTTGATAATACATGGCAAAAGATAAAATAAAGACAATAACATTATTATTCATAGGTAAATATGCAGATTTAATATATTCAGATATTTTAACAGCACCTGGTAAAAAATGTACCATAAGTACATTGATAGCTGCTATGGACAACAAAGAGACTATTAGGACAATACATATGCAACAGATAAATATGCAAATTCAATATATACAGATATTTAACAGCACTTGATAATAAATGTGCATATGCAAAAGATAACATTATTATTCATCGGTAAATAGGCAAATGCAAGATATACAGATACTAAACAGCACCTGGTATTAAATGTACCATAGGTACAAGGACAGCTGT